TTAGTTAGATAAAAACCAAAATTTGGCTGCTCACGTGTATAGATGCGAGTCGTACTTACCTTGGCCTCTTCATGTTTAACTCAGAAAAAAAGGATCGAAACCTTTAAAAAAACTGCTCATGTGTTATGGTCATACAAGTCGTACTCACCTCTCCACGTTTCCCTCAGGAAAAACGAACGATGGAAACCTTTCAAAAAAAGATGGGAAATATCTGAGCGTAATCTCCCAGGAGGACTTCTAAACTCTCCCAGGTTGTTTTGTTTTTGAGGGAAACTCTCTCAGGTTGTTGGATACTCGATCCCTACATGGTCTCTCTTTGCCCGCACGTGCCTTCTCGAAGAACCATGAGACAAATCCCACGGTGCCGCCGCCGCTGAATCCTTCCTCATGCTATTTTTTCGAAAAGGGGGAATACCCCGGCCTCTGCATCTGGACGATGCATACGGCCACTTTATTGATTATTAACACAAGACCTTACAAAGTCGTACAACAGTAAGACCAAAGCCACCATCTTCGCAACCTCTGTCGCTACTCCTATCTAACTGATGAAGGGGCGCTGATGGTCTGGGCCTAATACCAAACAGACCTCGCAGCCATACCTAACATCTTAGACCTGAGGTCCCAACCAGGACTCCTTCCGGGTATGGGCACCCACTAGTCCGGCGTGCTCGTCAACCAGGCCCCCTGCCGGGTATGAGGCCGCCGCAGCCACGTACCATCAATCCATCTTCAGAGCTGAACTGTTGCATGAACCGTGCCAGGCCTCACTGCCATCGACGCCACCACGACGCCAGACAGCGCCACCATCCTGCACTCGTCCATCATCACACGCCCACCGGCGAGACCCCCGCTGCTCCATGCCGCTGAGACCCGCCGTTGTCAACGTGCCAGATGCCACGCCGCTCCTCCTCTTGTCCCCTCCGGCCAACACTTGCTCCAAAACGATGCCCTCAGGAGGGAGAACGACATCGAAACGTCGCCATCGTCCGATCCGGTAGATCCAGATCAAGGGTTTCCCCCAGAGCCTTTCGATCAGGTTGACGTGACCTGCAACGACGATGCCTCGAGAAGGGAACGACGTCAGAGACGCCGCCATCGTCTGCCATGACCGCAGTCAGACGCGATTTTCACCGGAGGCCACGGCGTCCCGATCTCGCGGTTGGCTGGAACGGAGCCCTCCGCCGAACCGGTGGCCGCCGATCCGATCCCACCGCCGTGCGACGCCCCGATGGAGAACCCGTTCTAGATCGAAGACGACCTCGACCGAAACCTTGCCACCAGCACCGCCACACCGCGCCACCTCCTCCTAGCCCAGTCGCTGCCGGATCCAGCCGTCCCCGCCTCCGGGGGACCAGCCGGACGAGGCGCCCCTTGTCCCCAATCTGACGGCCCGCGCCGCCGCCACGAGGGCCAGAGGAAGGAGGGAATGCCCCGCCGCCGCCTGCGCTGCGCGGGCTTCGCCCGGCGGGCGCACTCCGGCGGCGGCGAGGGGGAGGCGACGCTGGGGAGGCGACGGCGGCGGCGGCCGATCGATCTCCCGAGGCGCACGCGCGGAGCGCGCCGCGGGAGCCTTCAGATGCGATGCGGGAGCCTTCGTGGGACACCTTCCTCATGCTATGGGTGATCCAGTAATACTACCCTCGGCTGTGCGTTCGTACCTCCGCTGCCTTCCGTCGTCTGTTGGAGGCCATGGCCGTGAGGCCCCCATGTGTGTACGTCGACGCACAGCGCCGAGGACGAAGCTGCTCAGCCGGCCAGTGTCGCCATAATCTCTTCCCGACAGCTCTTCTTCATCCACGCCCGCCCTAATACCACGGTTGTCAACTTCATAAGCAGCCGCCACAGGCCAGTGCCGCAACTTCCTTTTCCTCTTTTGCCAAACCCGCGTCCTTGATACTGCTGTGGAGAATCAGATAGGCAGATGACACCCAATCCTATTCTATTTGATTTGAGGGATGAAGAAGACACGAGCAAGCACGCCTTACTGCTAGAGAAGAAATATTCAGTCCGTGGCTGCTGTTAGCACTCATGCATGCCCTCTTGCCGGAAAAACAACAGCAGCATTCACCTCTGGTAATTGCTCTTATTCAGTATATTTTACAGTTGTGTCTCTGAAATCTATTTATGGGTCAAATTCAGGATAAGGCGAGGTATGCAAACCTCAGAAACATGTATGATTTTCTGTACCAATGCTGTGTTCAAGTCTTATTTATGAATGACTTTGATTGCTATGCGGTACTAATAATAATCCATTTATTATGGTGCCTTCTGCGTGGAAGAAACATGTGTATAACCTTTTTCTAATTTTAGTGCGCAGGTATGGCATGCAACCAAGGTAAGGAGCAACCCCGTAATCACTAATAATGGACCAATGCATGGGGTATCTCTTTCTGCCCCTCGGCAAGGCCAACTTGGGTGGATAGTTTCCTGCTATAGGTTTGTTCGGCTATCTTTTCATGTATCCCCTGCTCGAGATGCCAGCATTGCACCTATAGAGGAGACTCCCTCCATGGTTGACATCCCCTCTTCCCAACATATTTTGAGACATTTAGATCCTTGCTCCTATAACACCTGCTGCTGCTCCAAGGTTTTGTTTACTCAATGATTAGATTGCAATTTCCGTCGCTCGCCATGACAGAATGGTGGAAAGAATCTATTATAATCTGCATACTCCATGGTAAGCTCAAGGATAGTTGTCTCTTACTACTCTACGTTGTTAATCTCCCTCTTGCTCTCCCTGAGTTCATCTAATAGAAAAGGTTCTAAATTAGAATATTAGATCAAGGTTACATGATACGGAGATTCGAAATTATTTTCCTAGGTTCTATGATAATCCATAACTTAGGTTTTCTGTCCGATAGATGAACATGTCAATGATGGCATTCAGGAGAAGATATGAATTGTTTAACAGATCTGTACCTCCTACACGTGCTATTAGTCAAGTCAAATGTACCATATGCGGCTCAACTCTCATGTCGGTAAATCATTGGTCCATGCTTATTTGCAAGTAAAATAAAACGTGGGATGCACTTTATAGTAAATGTGCTTTTATGTAAATCATGTTTCTTTATGTCATTGCATGTCAGATCTTTCATAAATTTCTTTATATGTGATACTAGTTTTCTTAACATATGCTATGCTTTGATGAATAGTATACATGTTGCTCTATCGGTCCCTTCTAATTTGATAATCTCTGAAAAAGTTTAAATATCTCAATTTACCTGTTTATGATGTCTCTTTAAAATATTGAGGCACCAACTACTGAGGATGCACTTCTATATGTTGCACGAAATCTAAGGAATGATTTTAGGGATCATCCAATTTTACTTTACTATTTTATTATAAGGTGCATTATTTTTCTCAAAAGTCAAACCTTTTCTATCTTTGACCAAGTTTATAAAAATTTATCTACATCTATGGTACTTTGAGGTGTAATATCACCATGCGCTGAGAAGTATAACACTATTTATATTAGTATAAAGTATTTCTTTCATGAATTGTAATATCACCATGCGTTGAGTATATTAGAATTCTATGTTCCAGTCATAAGCAATAACACATCAATATTACATCCCCTCCTGCACATCAAACGAGACACGGCTAATTAATGCTTCTATGTGCACACGTTCTATACTAGCTAAGAGGCAAGAATCCTCTATTCCTTGCCATGCATCATTGTTATCGTTGATCTAATTTGCAACAGGGCTCGAGTCCAGCTCTAGATGAGTCGAAGCGAATAAAGGGTTTGCAGCATAAATGTTTGAACAAGCAAGTTATGCATTGATATGTCATTTACCTCAGATGTCTGCCATGATTAGATTCTTTCTTTCTAGGTTGTAGTTGAAACGTCTTTCTGATAATTGCAACTTTGTCAGTCATATGTTCGTTCATGGTCCCACAAAACTAAAAGGCCTCGATAATGATACAACCTGCTATCTTACTTTTTGTTAACGTGTTTCTCTGTATATGACCTCAAGAAATATTGGGTTCGGTTTGTTTATAAGTTTAGTCAGATTTATCTACTGTTGTAGAATCCTCGGTGCCCATCAACACTGGCGGAAAGATATATGTACTGGCTCAATACTCTAGAGTTGAAAGCACCCTAACTCATCGCGCTTTAGACTAAGTTTTTCTGATATTTTAAAATTAGTTAATTAATTTTAATTATGCAGTTGGCACATAAAAAATAACAAGCATGCAAAGAAATTGTGTATACTACAAATACTGGCAGTGCTTTTTTTTACAGAACTTGCAAGTCCTTTTTGCATTACGAAAACTACTTTTGAGTTCTTTTTACTAAATGAAGCAGCAGCTAGCACACTATGATAAACCACTTTGCTCTTCCTTTACCAAAGTAGAACTAGAAAAAAAGGCAACAACCTGTTTGTTTGATTAATCCCAAAGTTGAAGTAAAATTAATAATATTGTTTTTCCTAATAATATACTCTGGCGCCTGCATTGATTGACGAACATGGCCATTTTACCGTGATAGGTCAAATACATGAATGATATATTCTTAATTACATACTTAATTAATTTGCATGATCAATGAAACAAAAAAGATAAAAGATATGTCCATCCATCTCATCCAGTTATTTCTTGCATTACTATGCTAGGATGGCATTAGGGGAAAATTAACTATGCTACCACTATTTAATCCGGTTCTGCAATCTACCTTTTGCCTAGCCCGTGCAACTGCACGGATTCACGACTAGTATAAATAACTCATTAAAAAAAGAGGATCACTCCGACCTCTCCATTAAAATGATGCATGTAGCCCCTTTATTAAAAGAAGTACCTGGGTAGTAAATACCTAGATGAGTCATTCAATAGACTGACTCATTCACTTAACTCTCTCTTTTCTTCTCAAGAAGTTCTCCCATGGACAAAGGTACACCTCCATTTTATTTCACTGGACGCCACACAAACATTTATATTCACCAAACTTATTCAGCAACCCTAATTGACCACGCTTACCATCAAGGATGACAGTGTAGATCTCAAGAGGATAAAGTGCGTCGCGTGAGACGCACGGAAAGCGGTGTCTTCATCCCCTTGACGAAGGTGTTGAGCTCAGTCACGTCGACGCCAGCACAACCCTCCGTGGGTGGCTTCCAGTGGAACTCGTGCACGAGCGCAGCCAAGAAACACTTGATGTTCATCATGGCCAGACCCACGCCAGGGCAGAACCTATGCCCGGTGCCGAACGGCATCATCCTGATCTCCTTGGGACCCGGAAAAGGCCCCACGTCCTCTGCCTCGCCGCCGGGCAGGAACCGCTCAGGTCGGAACTCGTCGGGATCCGTCCATGTCTTGCTGTACCTCCCGATGGCTCCCACGGAGACCTGCATGAGTAAGTCGCTGGTTGTTGCTCCGACTCCGAGAAACCCGGCGGCGTCGGCATGGACGTGGCGCTGGATGAAGGGCACCGTTGGGTGCATGCGGAGGCTCTCGAGCACCACAGCGTTCAGATACGGCATGCCATGGATGAGGCTTCTGGAGCTGGAGACCACAGTGCCGCCAGCGCTTTCGACCTCGTCACTCACCTTTTTCTGGACCTCCTGGTCGTTTACAATGTGGGCGAGGGTCCATTCCAGGCATGCTGCGACCGTCCCAGCGCCGGCGCCCAGGAACTCCAGCACGAGGAGCACCACCTCGTCATCCCTAACAGCACGGCGGCCACCGTCACCATCGGGGACGCGTAGGTCGATGAGGGAGTCGACGTATGGACGACGGCTGCCCCCGTCGCAAGGACGTCGGGACTCCCGCCGTGCGGCGACAAGACGGAGGAATATCTCGCCCATCCGAGCGTGTAAGGCCAAGAGCTGGCGCAGCACTCTCCACCCCGTGAGCTTGGCCAACATGGAGCCGGACGAAGGTTTCGCCTCCACAACAGCGATGAGCTGGATGTCTCGTATCCCGCAGCGCATGGTGTGTAGATAGCCCTCATCGATGTCGTCGCCGAAACACAGGCGCGCGACGACCGAGAAGACGGCGGCAGAGAGGTGCTCGCGGACGGACACCACCGGTAGTTCCTTCCCGAGTGCCGCAATAAGGCCCTGGGTGGCCTCCCGCTGCAGCGGGGCGATGTGCCCGAGGCGGAACGGATGAAGCGTCTCAGCCATCAGGTTGCGCCGGAGAGCACTCCAGAGCGGGCCATAGGGCACAGAGGTTAGGCCGACGCCTCGTTGGCCGCCGTTGCTCTTTTCCAGCGCCACCAGGAAGGGCGGAGCTGGGCGGTTCGAGAAGTGGTCGGCGTTCTCGACGAGCATGCGCTGGGCAGCGGCAGGGTCGACGATGTTCTGGATGACCAACGCAGCTGGAGCTAGGGCGCCGGCACGCCTAATACCAGTGTGGCAGCCACGTCGCCGGATCAGTGCGGATAAGCCCAAGAAAATAAGGGCAAGGAGCACAAGGAGCTCCATTGTTGGTTTCCGTGGGAGTGACTGATCTTACTATCTTATAAAGAGAGGCTAGCTAGGTAGGCCAGCGTTACTCATGAGTACGAATGATATAGTATCGCATTGCCAATTTGCCATGCATTATCACTCTCGCACCTAACCTAACGCAATTGATGTATGAGCTGCTGGGCAAAGCTAAAGCTATATAGATGAATTTTGATTTTGCTAACCACGTGTCCCTCGCGGTAGCTAAAGCTACGGTCTGGCAGTACTTTGCTGTATTATTTGCACTTTAACGAGTGGGAGGAGATGCACTACAATTTTTTTCTAAGGAACGTGTGATGCATGGTATGTAACAATTATATATCTATTATAAGTGGAATATCTCTGTGTATTTCAATCATCATGCGGAATGTGCTTCCAAACTTGACAGTCACGATATGTCACTACTGGAATTTTTGTATATGCTGGGTGTCGGCGTCCTTGTCGAGAGCCAAAATACGGGCACTCGGCAAAGTAAAGAACACCGAGAGTGGCACTCGGCAAAGGGAATAAGGCAAACACACGACAATGCCGACAGTATTGCTCGGCGAACAGGGTATACTCGGCAAAGGCACTATTTGCCAAGGGCCATTGAGGGAGTCCTGGATTAGGGGGTATCCGGACAGCCGGACTATGTACTTTGGCCGGACTGTTTGGACGTGAAGATACAAGACTCAAGACTCTGTCCCGTGTCCGATGGGACTCTCCTTTGCGTGGAAGACAAGCTTGGCGATCCGGATATTAGATCTTCTTCTTTGTAACCGACTCTGTGTAACCCTAGCCTCCTCCGGTGTCTATATAAACTGGACGGTTTAGTCCGTAGGACACAATCATAATCATCACAGGCTAGCTTCTAGGGTTTAGCCTCTACGATCTCGTGGTAGATCAACTCTTGTAATACTCATATCATCAAGATCAATCAAGCAGGAAGTAGGGTTTTACCTCCATCGAGAGGGCCCGAACCTGGGTAAAACATCGTGTCCCCTGCCTCCTGTTACCATTAGCCTTAGACGCACAGTTCGGGACCCCCTACCCGAGATCCGCCGGTTTTGACACCGACATTGTTGCTTTCATTGAGAGTTCCTCTGTGTCGTCGCTGCAAGGCTCGATGGCTCGTCTCGTTGTCATGGACAACATCACCTCTGGGGGAGCACTGGCTTTAGGTCAAACTCTCCGACTAGGCGGCTTCGTCATGATCGCCCTATCGGCTGCCGCGCCGACGTTGACCTCTCGAGTCATCAAAAACAGCCTCCACGTCAATTCGGAACTCGCCGAACAGATGGATCCAATGGAGCTCTCCTTCCTTAATGAGCTCTTGGATCGCATCGCCGCTCTGGCAGTCGCTACTGACTATGATCGGATTGGGTTTAAACCCGACCAAAGGGATATCAAATCTCCACCGGTCACCCATGAGATAGCGGTAGTGGAAGAGCCACACATGGATTATCCCTCTACCTTGAGGACGAACTACTATGTCCGGATTACCGAGCTCTCTGAGCCGGATACCCGCTCACGGGAGGACATGACCCAGGCCCCGGACTTAGAACCGGGTAACGGGCCAGAAAAATTGGGCAACATCCCGGAGTCCGAGCTGCCGAGCCCGGAAGCTCCGCTGCCCCTGGATGTCAAATCGGGTCAGAATTCGAACTTAACTACGCCCACCCACCCAGGCTTATGCTGTCTTTCCCATATCAGACAAGAGCCCCAAGAGACAGTACATCGCTACTGGGCCAGATTCCTCCATGTGCTAAACAGGGTCAAGGAGTGTCGTGAGGAGGACACAATCTCTCTTTTCTGCAAGAACTGCACAAACAAAGGGATCCTTAATGCTATCAGCCGCCGTGACATAGTACACTTTGCTGACTTAGCAGCCATAGTACATAAGTACTGTGCGATGGAAAGCGCCTGGAAAACCCAAATAGAAATTTGGGATAAGCCGGCTCTCACTAAACCCTTTGTCCGAGCTAAAAGGGCAAACTCTCGTAAGTTACCCGATCCAATTCCCAAAAAACCAAAGCCCACTCCAGGGCGTGGAACCGTATTGGAAGAATGGCTCAACGGGCCATGCAAAATTCACAGCACGCCGGATACCACGCCGACGCATAGTCTTAGAGCATGTTGGCTACTCCGGCAGGTAGCAAAAAGCCGCGAGGATCTTCTTGTAAACCATAAGGTTGAAGAACATCCCGCCGAAGAAAACAATGCGGTATTGACAGTCTTCGAGACTTCCGCCTCAAATAATAGGCGCAAGCGAGCTCATCGAAATTTCGCTGAAATCTGCCACGTGGCAAAAATAAATCCGTGGAGCGACACTGCTATAACCTTCAGTGCCAATGATGAACCTCAATTCCAGACAGTCCGGGCACCAGCCGCTTTGGACCTTAGCCCAATCGTGGACGGCTTTCGGCTCACTAAAGTACTCATGGACGGCGGAAGCGAATTAAACTTGATCTATGAAGAAACGCTCAGCAAGATGGAAATTGATAAAAGCCGCATTGAGCAAAGCGGCCCAACCTTCAGGGGAATCATCCCTAGTCGGGAGGCACGGTGTGCGGGAAAAATCACACTCGATGTGGTATTCAGCACCCCGGAGAATTATAGGTCCGAAAAAATCACGCTCCAAGTGGCCCCGTTTAGCAGCGGATACCACGCCCTTTTAGGGCAGGACGCATTCACGAGCTTTCAAGCTATACCCCATTAAGGGTACATGAAGCTTAAAATGCCCGGACCCAATGGAATCATCACTCTAGCCAGTGATCCGGACATCGCACCGCGCGCCGAGAATAAAAACTGCCGCACTATCCCTGGAAGCATTATCCGAAGCCCTAGCGGCCGAAGAACTAACAACGTTGCGCGCCATAGTGGACAGGGACGACGTGATACTCGACAAACGACCCAAGTCCACCTCATTCAAGCCCGCAGACGAGATAGTCAAATTCCAGGTCCATCCAACGGACCCCATGAAGACAGCTTCCATCGAGACACAGTTGAGCCCCACAATGGACGCCGCACTACGAGACTTCCTACGCGGGAATTGGGACATCTTCACCTGTCATCCTTCAGACATGCCAGGCATCCCACGCAGGCTGGCTGAACACAGCCTCAATATATTGAAAGGATACAAGCCAGTCAAACAGACTCTTAGGCGCTTCTCAGAGCCTAAACGGCAAGCCATGGGAGAAGAGCTAGCCAAGCTACTTGAGGCCGGATTTATCAGAGATGTAAAGCATCCGGATTGGCTGGCAAATCTGGTAATGGTACCAAAGAAGGACAAATCCTGGCGCCTATGCGTCGATTTCAAAGACCTCAACAAGGCTTGCCCCAAGGATCCTTTCCCCCTCCCTATCATCGATCAAATCATCGACGCTACCACAGGACACGACTCACTATGTTTCCTCGATGCATACTCCGGATACCATCAAATAAAGATGGCAGAGTCCGACCAAGCCGCAACGGCCTTCATAACGCCATATGGTCCCTTCTGTTTCAACACTATGCCTTTCGGACTCAAAAATGCCGGCGCAACCTATCAACGCATGATTCAAACATGCTTGGAGAAGCAAATCGGCAAAACAGTGGAGGCATATGTGGACGACGTGTCATAAAAACAAGACACGTCGAAATCTTAATAGATGACTTGAGACTTATGTTCGACAACCTCCGAACATACGACATCAAGCTCAACCCGAAAAAATGTGTTTTCGGCGTACCCTCCGGGAAGTTGCTCGGCTTCATCGTTTCCAATAGAGGAATCAAAGCAAATAAGGGAAAAATTCGAGCTCTGTCACAGTTGGCTATCCCAACAGACCTCAAGCATATTCAGAAACTCGTTGGATGCGTGGCTGCCTTAAGCCGCTTTATCTCCCGATTAGGAGAAGAGGCACTACCTCTCTACCGCCTTC